AATCTGCAAAAGCTTCCTACTCAACCTAGCTTCAAGAATCTCGAAGGCTGGACTCCTGGAACCAAGGAATCAACATCAGATCTTATTTTCCGAGAACTGATCCATGTCAACAAAAGAATGTAAAAAGTCTTTCTTTTGTGTTGAAATAAGAAAGGAGTTCGTCTTTTTGTTCCCCACGTTCTCCGATTAACGTACATTGAGAATGAATACATGTTTAATTTTCCTAATCACGGCAGACTAAGTGACCGTGATTTGCTACGGAAATACTAGAACTCTGCTTCTCATCTTGCAACCTGATCCTATTCAGACTCAGCACCATCAAATTTGATATTTTATCCACCAATTCCATGCTGCCGTAGTTTGATGATGTCCCTTTTTCTATATTTCTCGCCTATGCTTGTTAACATCAGAGATCTAAGTAATCATGGGGTTATGCTTACTAATAATCCATTTGTTTTGCGAAAATAAATAATTTAAAAAATATTTTCCTAAAAATGATCGCTTGTATAGTTTACAAAAATGAAAAGGAAAAAAATATTTTCATGGATCATGAAAATATTTAAACATAAATTATTATCTATAATGAAAAAAAATTTCATTGACTAATTATTTCAAGTAATACAAGCGATCATTTTAGAAATATATTTTTCAAATTATTCATTTTTTCACGAAATAAATAGAACCTAAAGCTTGAAATAGTAGCTGATTGTAATTGGCTACTGAAGTTTTATTTGGATTTTAGATTTAGTGATTATCTAAAACTATTTATCACTGTTCTTTTCATGAGGGGCCCCACACACATTATGAGTTGGAAATGAATTATAAAGCCATTTCTCCATGATAATAATAATCTCTAACACGATAATAACAGAAGAGTCCCTTTTAGCTCTCAACGCCCACATGGTGTCGACCTCTCTTTCATTATGGAGCGAGTTAGTGAATTTTGACGACCAGAGGTTCAAGGTAGAAAGTACGATGATCTTAAACCTACGACAATTATGGGATGAGAGGTAGAAGACAGCTGAAAAGAGATATTACGGTAACTGAAATGGTGGAGGAGTGCTATTGTAGGAGATGAGAAGGAAACGTTGCTTTTGACGGTTTAGCATCTTTGTGGGTGCTTTTGTGGTTATAACAGGAGAGTGCAAAAGATGAGGGAGGTCAACCAGCTGCTAGCAAACTTCTCGGGGCATTGTAACAAGGATTTCATACCCGTTACGAAATGTTGGGTTTGAATTGCAACTACTCCGCACCACCACTGAACTGAAGGTCCAAGAGTGGGGAACCTGTTATCTCATTCATGAAGCATCTTTATATGAGATATGCCATGACTAGACAATAAAACATGAAAGTACCACAAAAAAGAAAACATGGAAGTACCACAAAAGTGAGACCAAAGGGGGTTTTGTGGTTGTGATAGTAACTTAATCCACCATCTGAGGCAAATTTGACTGAAGGAAAACAAAAATGGAGAGCTTAATTTTTCATCGTAGGCAAGCTTGATTGAAAATTCCGATAAATCAAGAAATGTTTAATCATTCAAAGAGCAAATTTGACTGAAGGAAAAAAAAATGGAGAAGTTAATCCTTCATCTTAGGCAAGTTTGATTGAAAAGTCAGATAAATCAGGAAATGTTTAATCATCCAAAGAGCGCTAGATCAATTTCAGCTAACTTTGAAGTGCAAGCAAGGTAAAAGTTTTGGTCAAAAGGAAATTTTCCTATTGAGATCATTAAACCTGAGATAAGAACAAAATGAGTGCCCTAATTTTTGTACGGCACTCACTTGAGTGGCATTTCTTTTCGCTCGCTTAAGTGCCACATCGAAGAAAAATCGATCATTTAAGTGTTACTTCCCGCAAATCGTCATACTCGGATTTTTTGTATTTAATTTTTTAAAAAAATTGATTTTTTATTTTTTATTTTCCTTTTTTTCTTTATTTTTTTGTGCACCAGTCACAAAGGTGGGCCCTCGGTCGGCAGGGCCACGAAGGCCTTGGGCAAGGCCATCACTGGCTGTGGCCGAGGGCTTGGGTAGTGAGACCGCGATGGCCCTGGGCAGCGAGGCAAATTGTCGATGGCACTTAAGTGATTGATTTTTCAAATTTGTAGCACTTAAATGATCTGATTTTTCAAATTTGCAACACTTAAGTGAGGTTAAAAAAATTACAAAAATTGTCCACGTGGGAGCACAGCGGTGCCACGTAGAACGACCGGTGTCCACATCGGATTTTCCGGCAAGGTAAATCACCGATGGCACTTAAAGCGATCGATTTTTCAAATTTGTGGCACTTAAGTGAGCAAAAAAAGTTTTGACACTTAACATTCCGTTTGTTTCGCTGAAAATGCTACGTTTCTGGAAATGTTTTCCAGGAAACCATTTTCCTAAAAAATGACACAATTTTTCAAGTGTTCAGTTGAAATCTGAAAGGTCTTGGAAAATATTTTTCGTTGTTTAGTATGGAAAAGATTTTCCTTGTTGCAATACTTTTAATAATTTTTTATTTTTATTTTTATTTTTAAAAGTGTCTTTAATTTTTTCTTTTTCCTCCTTCTTCCTTGGCCATGGCGGCGGCCAACGACCGACCACAAGCGAGCTTGAGCCTCGCCATAGGCCGGTTGGGCGAGCTCGGGCCTCGTCGGATCAAGTGAGGCTCGACCTCGTCAGAATCTGGCGAGCTCGAGTCTCGCCACTGGCCGCTGGTGTCTAGCTTATTTTCCGTGAAATGAACCCTGAAAAACCAGAAAATGTTTTCGTGAAAGTTATTCTTCATGAAACGAATGGAGCCTAAGTAAGCGCCATACCCCAACAACATTCCCATTCGTAATTTCGATGGAAGGAATAACTCAAACAAAATATTATATAATCTCATAACCTGATTGCACAAAAAAACTCAAAGGATCAAATTGAATATTTTTCAATAATTAGCCGCTGGTGCCCCCGCTTCACGAAAAATGTGAAAATTTTGGGGCTAAAATTGGAGATTGGCCCTAGCATTGCGAGTCAAAAGCACGGAAAGCACAAAAACAGAGTGAGACGCGGGACCGTGTCTCTGTGTCAAAGAAACAGAGTGAGGTGCCCCCTTCCCAGGCCATGCTTGTCCTCTCCAGCTCACGGTCACAAGCAAAGATGTTTAGCACTCTCGCCGTCTCCTTAAAAGGTCTCATCTCTCTGTACCCTCTCTTCAATTTCATTTTATTGCCAGTACCGTTATTACTTGAAGTCTGCGAAAATCGTTTCAGCTGTTGGTTGATCATGTGTATTTGTCGTCTTTAAACTAATATACAAGTTCATGTGCCTCTTTTATGCGTTGTTGATTTTGGAAAATTAATCAATTTTGCCGATAGTGTATCGCGACTGATGGGCAATGATCGTTCTTCTTTTGTTGGTAATTATCATCTTCCGGCCTTCCTGTTTTTGAATTTTCCAAATAAAGGTTTGGTTACCGAGAGTTTCTGCTTCTTGTCCCTTTCACATTTTAAGCACTTGCGTGTCTTAAAAAACACAATAGAACACTTTAAAGTCAGCTGATGGTGTCTTGGGTTCAGACATGATTCTTTGACAAGCTGACATGTTAGATGTAATGCGTGAATGACTCGAGAAAAGTTCCATATATAAGAAAAGTTCGAATGACTCGAGAATAGATATAATGCGTGAATCCCGTGTTAGGAAGGAGATTCCGTTTATGGAACGGATCCTCCCTGCTAGAATGGCTTTCTTTAGTAACTCTTGAACCCCGTTCCAATTTAAGTCGTCGTCTTGCAGTGCGGCAATGTTCAGTACTTCTATTGGAAAAATTCTTGTTTTCCTTTGGTTGTAATTGAAAATATTTGTTTTCGATTTTGACTGATCTTTTTTACTTTTTCCTTTGTTACGCAGCTGATTCTGTTTGAATCTCAGCATGTGGAGTACATGAACTTAAGTAAAAAAAATTTCTTGTGGATTTTGGAAATATTTGTTTTCGATTGTAAGATGTCATTGTCATGTTTAATCCCGATACATTCTTGTGAATCTCAGCTGATTGTTTTGAATTTTTTTTTACAGTTTGTGTCACAAACACCCAAAGTGACCCCATGGAGCTAGTGGATTATTTGACGGACGCAAACAATCCTCTCGCAAGTGGTGTCTACGCTTCGCATGGACTCTCCCAAGCCACCGCCACTTGATTTCCCAGTGCCCTATTTACTAGGCTAGGAGCTTGGTAAAGCACGCGCTTTACCTCTGAGAACCAAAAGAATAAACTAACATCCAGAAGGAAAACTTTTCATCCAATCTTGAGTGATTTTTATTTGCTAACATGCATTTACGGTAATAAATCAAACATTTAAAAAGTTATCAAATACAAACAATGTATGTATAAGCATTTACCCCCTGAACTGTAAATAGAAATGAACTAATGTATGAAAGGAAGTACAAATATACGGTATGCAACGCACTATTGCCCACCTAAAATGAGCTTCTAAATATGAAAATAAAATATAACTAATATGTAAAAATGGTAATTTTGTATTTTTTTTATTGCTCTCAAATTGTGCATAAGAGGAAATTAAATCGACAATAAATGACGCAAATATGCAATATCCTAAAAGCACATGCAATGCTAAATATATGTAAATTTTTGTGGATATGCAATCTAAGATGACAGAAATGAAAAATATGATTGTTTTTGGACTCGATTCTCACGAAATGAAAGTGAGACATGTACATGGATATGCAACCTAAACGTGCTAAATGTGCACTAAGACAGTTATTCACGGAAAAATATAAGAAACTACAACAACAAAACGTGTAAAGAAGGAATATTTCAGTGATAAATTATGCTATATGCACATGAAGTGGAATTAGCTGAGTGTTCATGTAGTTTTCTTGTAGATTGCCGGAACACAGATAAACTCTGGATTAAAGAAATCCCACTTGAAGAGTGGGATGGGGAACAGTGTTTCTCATGTCCTAATATAAAAGCTGCTTTAGCCATCTCCTCCTCCTCCTTTTCCTCAGCTTTCTTGTTTCACTCACCGTAGCAGCAAAGCAACAATTGTCGCGTAGTCCGCAGCTTCACAAACCATGCAGCGGCGAGAGAGTCAAAGCTCCTACGCTAATCTCAACCCGGACTCGCAAAGGTGAATGATCATGCTTTCTAAATTTTTCCCATTTTACACAGCTCTAATAATCCTATTTTCATCCATGTCGTATTCATGCTCTCTCTCCTACTAGATCTAACATTCTCTTGCTAATCTTTCTTGTCATAGTCGATTCTGGGGTTCTTGAATGCTGCAACGAGCTCCTTTGCTGCTTAAGATTTAGTCCTTTAACTTTTTTACTTAGGTCATACTACTTGGTATTGGGAGTTCGCTTACTTTGGGTTGAGAGAAGTGAGTACGAATCTGCAATGAGATCCTTTTCTCATTTTCTTTTCCTTCTTTTAATGATTTTCACAGTATTATCATGATGAACAGTCATACTTGTATTGATTGTGATTTCAGAATGATAATTCCTTTCTATTCCAAATTGGGTTTCCTTTTCTTGCTGTATAAGTTATATATACAGACTGGTGACATTCGTATTCTCTCATTCGGATGCTTACGTTGATATGTTCCTGTTTTCTATCAAATCTGAATAAATTGCTAGTGACTTGAGCAATTTTCACCTCATTTCTTGGAAGAAATGGGGAATGAATGGTCAGATTCAGACCATTCTCATACTTTGTTAAACACTTTTGAACCTTCTGCTTCAGACAAACCCATTCTGTTTTGTAAACATTTCACTGGAATTGAAATGATTTTATAGCTCTATAGCTATCTGCCATATCTTTTGAGGAGAACATGCTATATTTTAATATTTTTTTGTGAAGTCATGAATTATGTCATAGATTTGTAATTGATTTATCCGGGTAGTCTATGATACTGCAAAAGTATGTGATGTAATTGGGCTACTGCTAGGTTTGAGGATGTACTTCTTCTTCAATCTGAATTCTATGGAACTCAGCCAAATGTTGAGCAGTCCTGCTGGAAACTTTACTATTAATAGTGGTTGGGGTAAACTTCGATCTTCACCTGCTAAACTGCCCTGGCATAAGCCGGTTTGATTTGCTTAAAACAAACCAAAACACATTTTTATGAGCTGGCTCGTTATTTTGAATAAGCTGCCTACTTGAAATAGATTGAAGAAGAGGAATCCATGGTGGAATAAATGGAAGTTGAAAGGCTTGCAAACGCGCAAACCTAAAGCCACGCAAAGCCCTTCGACTTCAGATGATTAAACAAAAACTTCTCTTATCCATCAATAAAGAGGAAAGCAGAGGGAGACCCCCTTTTGCTTTCTTTGGCCAGAAAATTGACAAACGACATGAGCGAGCGCGCAATTCTTTACATGCCTTGAGCAAAAAGAAAAAGCTGGTCTCGTCATTGACAGGTGAGTTATTGGTTCTTCCTTTTGGTAATTAAAGATCATTGTCAGAGTAATCAACCTCAAAAGATATTAATTTTGGAGGAGAATAATGAAACGTCCATATTCGCAAGCAAGAGAGTAAAAGTGTTATGTTCTTGACTTCCTTCTGGTTTACAAATCCAATGAAAATTCTAAAAGAAACGAAGAAGGAGAACTGCATGTTGAATTAGAAAAGAGAGGAAACGTGTTCAAAACTAAGACGTAAATAGGGATTAGTATGTATATATAAATTTGAAGATAAGAAAACGAAGAAATAAATAAAAGGATAGCCATGTATGAAACATATAGAAATTTATGTTGTTAAGGTAAATATTAATTTTTTCTATAAATATGGTGGGTGGGCTTGGGTTGGATTCAAGGTCTTGCCCAAGACAGCCAAGTCCGGGATTTTGGCCCAAAAGCATTGCACAAGCCTATTGTGGCAAAGATTAAGGTCACGACTAACGCCTGCCCATGTAGCCAAGCGGGCTTCATTAAAACACAAAATGTGGAAAGTTACTGCACGTGCAATAATTAAAACGCATGTCCATTAACTTGTTGTCACGATACTGTGACTTTCTGAAATCCGACCCACTTGGGATTTATGAAATGAATGATTTATGGACGTGCTTGTAGTTAGATCTCGCCTGGAATTGATCACTCTAGGGATGCTAACCGTAAGGGAAAGGCTAATTAGGGATTTAAATTCGCGTGACCAAAGAAACTCGATCGTGAATTGACTTTCAACCATCGAATTGTCGTGGTGACATTTTGAACCAATGTAGGCCGATCCAAGGATAGTTAGGGATCAATTCGCTGCTGTCATATTAGTGGATCGCGGGTGATTCCGCTTGACCACAAGATGAACTGACGAATAACCCTAAACCTATACCAAACGATCGCGCCCGTCGGAACTAGCGATCGATCCTCACGATTAAGTGACAACCGAGGTCGTCACGACCCAAGTGAACTTGAACGTGGCTTGATTCAGTATCGGCCACGGGTTAAATGTACAAATTTCCCCAAAAGCCACCCGTTAGTTCGAGATATGCTCAAGTTACGTTAATTAAATTTGGTCATTAATTAACGATCAAGATTGGGCCTCGGAAATTATGAAGGTTATGATAGGATAGTTGGACGATGTTGTTATTGGCTTAGTCAGCCTTAGAATTGTCCGAATCTTTCAGAAAAATCAAATTTCGGCGAGAAATGGAAAATGACCGTTTTACCCTTGAGACTTTGTTAAGGCCAAGTGTAAATGGGGAAGGGCATTTTGGTCATTTCACCCTCACTTTAGAAATAGAAATTTTTGGACAATTTTTCCCTTGGGAATTTTGTGAAATTTCAATTTTGCCCCTGGATATTTTTGGCAAGGATTAATCCGGACCGTCGATCTTATGATAAGATCGAATCTTGGCCGTTGATTGGAATTGTGAGAGAGGGGTATGATGGTCAATTAGCATGTGTATTAGACACAAATAATTAACGTTGGACTATTTAAATCAATTTTCTCTCTCTCTCTCTCTCTCTCTCTCTCTCTCTCTCTCTCTCTCTCCTCACTCTCTCTCCCTCTCGACATTTTCTCTCTCTCCCCCACCCGACCGAGCCAACCCCTCCCCACCGTGATCGTGGTCATCTGGCCCAGCCAGCAGCCACCGCCGTCCTTTCGCCTAGCCGGATCAGCCGCGCCCGGAGCCACCGCCGCCGCCGTGGCCGCTCGCCTCACCACCGCCGTGGCCGCTCGCCTCACCACCGCCGTGGCCGCTCGCCTCACCACCGCCACTCACCTCACCGTCTCTCTCTCCCCTGTTCTGTCCCCACCGAAACACCAGCCCCCTTCGGTCCTGTCTAGCCGTGGAAGACCAGCCACCGTCCAGCTAGCCGCCGCCGTCCGCAGAGCCGCTCGCCGTCGCCGTCTGCCGCCGTGTGGCCGCCGACTGCCGCCCCTTTCCCTTCAGCTGAGCTAGCTTAGGAATTCAAGTAAGTCACCCCCTAAACCCTATTTAGGATATCGGGTATCGATAGACTTGATTAGGGGCTGTTTTGGGATTAATTAGTGGCTGTTAAGAGCTGTTTTGTGTGGACTGATTTAAGGGCTATTGTTGGCTGGATTGTGGGTGAAATAGTGATGGTTTGGGAGTGAATTGAGGCTGAATTGGGTGCTGGAAATTGTGGCTCGCATTAACGAGCGGATGGTCCAATTTAGGGACTATTTGTGTCGGTTTGACGTGCCGAGTTGTGGCTGGATTGTGGTGGTTGTTAAGGCTGGAAATAGACTCGGAAATGCTGAATTTATGTTCACAATAGTGGCTGTGATTGTGGGCTCGATGGTGGCCTTGTATGTTTGTTGAATGGTGAATTGATTGATTGAAATGTGGGCCGTTATGTACGCGTATGGGCTGAATTGAATTGACTAACAATTGGCTGTGATTGGGTGTTTATTAAGCATGTGAAATGCGTGTGGTTTGGTGCGTGCATGGGCCGAGTTTGATCGGCTAGTATATTGGCATGTTGGCATGTAAATTGAGCGAGCGAATAAATGAGAAATTGTGTGTGATGTTGTATGTGTGGTCACGAAAGTCCCTGAGACGGTACTATTACGCGGGGAATTGTGCCGTCCTGAGGCGGTACCATAACGCGGGACGATGCCCGGTATTACCGGAAGACGGCCAACCTGAGGCGGTACGTACCATAATGCGGGTGGTGCGTAGGTGGTGGATGTTGAGCCTGAGGCGGTACCATTACGCGGGCAAGATACATAGCCTGAGGCGGTACCATTACGCGGGCTAAGGAGTATTGTGAATATGAGTTGGTCGCAGTGAACCTGAGGAGGTACTACTACGCGGGTCACTGACGAGTCAAGTGAAAATAGTGTGATGAGGCATGAATGAGTGTATGGAATGTGGAAATGAAATGGCACGTGTTCGATTTGTGTATTGGGCGTGAAATTAATTTGAAATGTTCATGTGATTGGAAATTATATATATTTGAGACTAACCTGCAGATTGTGCGTATCAAAAGCTAGGTAAGTGCAATTGTGTGCATGATGTGTTTATTGGGTGATATTATGTTTGGTCTTGTCTGGAGGTACGTGATAGCCTTGGTGGGGTTTAGGGTGTGTACTTATTGAGACGTGTTCTCATGGTTGTTTCAACCAAAAATTTCAGAACCCCGGCCTGAGCCATGAACCTTTCACCACCGCCGCTGCAGCGTTTTGGGATTCTGATGCACACCGACCATGATGTTGTAGAATACCCGATAGACGAAAATATGACCTGGGTTAAACATACTACCGTAGTCTTGGTAGATGTAGGACTACCTCTTTGGCAGGCCCACACCTACACCGCCTGGATGTTCAGGGACGGGTTGGATGAGTTTGGCCTCGTCCGTGGCTTTGACGTTCCGTTTGACGGAGTAGGGGATTGGGATCCGTCAGCCATACCCCCTCCTGATGGCGAGATGACTAGTCTGGATACTAGTCTCGCCCAGTTCGAACACCAGCCCGTACCTGCAGCACCTGAACCTCCTGTGGCTGAGCCTGATTCGGAGCCAGAGGAGTCACAGGCAAGGTATGATCATATGGATGTGGATCTTGAGGTAATACCATAGGAGGAACCGGAAGAAGAAGACCCTGAGGAAGAACCTGAAGAGGCGCCAGAAGAAGAACCCGACGATGAGCCCGAAGAAGACCCAG